ACATGCGCAAATCGTCGCAACAATGCTGTTGTGAGTGGGAGCGAGACGGAGACTTCTCTGTCGCACAAAAGGTTCTCATTCCCGGCGCCGGATTTAGGGGTTGGAGCTAGAAAATTGCGTTTAACTTTGAATCCATAGGAGATTCGCGGGTACAATCAAGATAAAATTTGTGGTAAATGTTCTAATAAAAAATATGGAAGAAAAAAAAAGAAATTCATCGTTTCAATGTCAAGATATAAATAGCAACATATATTAAATTCGCTCTGAATAAATAAACAAGCTATTGAAAAAAAAATACTGATATTCCGATTTAAAAAAAAAAAATTCATTAACTTCAATTTTTTAAATGGAAAACATTTTTTTTTCCCATCTGATCTTCACGCGGCTCTGGGGGATGAACGGTTGGGAATAGGGGTAAAGTGCCCCAAACATTTTTAGTGTAGAATTTTGAGCTCTACAACTTTGTATATCATGTTTTTGGACGTACAGCGCGTTATTCACGAGTCATTTCGAAAAAACGCTTTTCAGGGGTAGTTTTTTGGCTTTTTCAACCCCCACCCAAACTGGGGGAACCTTAAATATCCGCTATTAGTTTCATACGCCCAAATCACAAATTGTATCAAAAATGGAGCCTGATTAGCAAACATTCGTATGTTAGACCTTCGTTCATTGGACTACTCCGGACTCACTCGACGCCGGAGAGCCGTTCGGGGTTTCTCCGCGCATTTGAAAATTCATTCCTCCGCTCATACTTAAGATTAAGTAATGATACCGCTGTCATTTATTGCGTATTTAATTCTCTATCGATTGACATCGGTTTCATTCCTTCATCTTAATTAGGGTGGGAGAAATGAATTTTCCAATCGGGAGAGCCCCTCCGGGCTCACTCGGCGTCGGAAAGCCGTTCGGGGTTTCTCCGCGCTTTTGAAAATTCATTCCTCCGTTTCTAACTGAGATTAAGAGATGAAACCGATGTCATTTATTAAAAATGCAATTCTCAATCTGTACGCTTTGATTTAATTCCTTCATCTCAATTAGGGAGGGGAGAAACTAATTTTTGAATGGGATGAACTTGTTCGGAGTTACTGCGCGTTTTGAAAATTCATTCCTCCTCTCCTAATAGAGACTAAGGGAATGAAACCACTGTCATTTATTGAGAATATTATTCTCGATCGATAGATGTTGCGTTCATTCCCTCTTCGCAATTAGGCGGGCAGGGGGGGGGGGAGAAATGAATTTTCTAATCGGTGGAGCCCCCCGCGCTCACTCGATGCCGGCGAACCGTTCGGGGTTACTCCGCGCTTTTGAAAATGCATTCCTCCGTTCCTACTTGAGTAGGATAGGATAGAATTTCCCGAAGATTCCAAAAAGCTTCATTGTTCTTCGTGCATGAAAAATGGGGATCGTCGGGAAACTCCTTGCGATCGCAAGACTTTTACCGATTTATTTTTCTCCGTGTGACGTCCGTATAGAAGATCAAAAAATCAATTTAATAATAGGATAAATGGAGTGGAGATAAAAACGTGAATATCTCGGAAATTAGATGCGATAAAATGGGCCCTTTTCACGTGGACGTATACATATAATTGGACTGAAATTTATAAAAAAATTTAATTTGCTATGACGAAATTCCTTGAAATTTCCGTATTACGGCAACGCGATAAAAATTCCCAATAAATGTTCCCGGAATTTCCGCGAAAATATTACTGAAACCTACAGACATCATTCCTGAATTCAAAACTTTCCTTTGATTTTCAGGATCATGTCACTAGAAATTTTTTACAAAATGACTCAATTTTAACATTGCTTGCTCATTGCATTTCAGAAATGCAGCTGCCTAAAAAAGACACATCGATTCCTAGGAACAACGTTTTTTTTTTCTCGGTAAACACAGACAATTTCTCTGAGAGAAATCTCAGAGTGGAATGCCGGGATTTTTTTTCACTCTGGATTAATTTTATAAAGATTCAAATTGATACTTGATTCATTCACATCGTTTCATTTCATCGGAAGATATTGTCGATTGGAGACAATTTTTGATGGTCACTGAAGGAGACAAACCATTCATCTAAATCTCACAATAATCTGCGAAAAATCTTATTCATTAATCTCTTATTGAATTAATCCCATTATGTGTAGATCGCTGGAGAACAACGAAAACGTTCCAACCGTTTCAAACGAGTTGGAATGTTTTCTCTCTCCTTCTTCCCCATTTTCTTTCTCACTCGCACTCGTTAATTTTGGTGGAGGACGGGCACGTGACAGCGCGACGGAGACGACAATGAGTGGGAGCGAGCGCGATACATATTCCTTTCTCACTCAGGGGGGAATACCGACATTAGTATACCTGCCTGTTTTACCAACAAAAGTGTACTCGCATTTAGTTCATGCGCCACCACTACGAAAAAATCCAGTCGAAACGTTTACATTGCGGTGAGAGATTTCCCTTATAATCTCTGGTCAGCACTCGCCAGGGAAATTCATGGTAAGTAACTTGGATTTTCAACTGTTAAAATTCTTTTATTCTAACATATAGAAACAAATGTGGTCCAACAAAGATTAACTAAGGGATTAACAGCCTCAAACCAACAATGTGAATCCGTAAACAGAATCATTTACATAAAAATGAATTTATTAGAATACTTACTCGTCTCAACCTAGTGATAATCGAGCTTCTTGACCTGATTATGTAAAGAGTTTTCACAAGTTAACCGTCTCTTTATTTTTTCAATAAAACATAATTCACCAGTTAATCTGCGGTCAACGATTTGTGCTAATTTGGGTAAATGTTAAGAAAGAGGGCCCTACCACCGATCTTTCTGAAAACTGAACTATCGGGTCGGTGGTGGGGCCCTCTTTCTTAATATTTACCCTAATTTGTTTGTGCATAAATGTTATTAAATATTTCGAAGTTCATTGGTGATGTTCAAAATGGAACAGTGCCCTTGATGAAATTGTTTGAAACTTTTATTGCAAAAAAAACAGGAATTCTACTTAATTAGGATCTCTAATTTTGAGCTGATGTAATTGCATCGAAATTCAACAATACAATAATATTGACTAACTCATAGTTTGTTAAAATGCCGAAATTCTACTAATGTCTATTACCAAATATTCTCCTATTCCTGCTATTCCCAGTTTTGGTGTCATACTTGTGCTTTGCTCTAATCAACTATTTTTTGCAGTTTTATTACATTCAAATAACAAAATTGATCCCTGGCTTTGGACACTCATTACATGAAACATCTCAAAAATATCAAGCAACTTATTCTATCGCAAAGACTAAAAAGCCGCTCGCGACCGTCGTGACAAAAAATATTCTTCATCACTAGATCGAGAAATTTCTTTTGTCGAATAGGAGGTTGCGAGAGGAACCGAACGAGAGTTCTGTATTTATATTCTCCAGAATTTTTATTTTTTCGCTCAGACGATACCAATGTATCTATTAATTGGAAGTCAAAAAATGTTACTTTCCATTAAATAATATCGCGAGTTTTCCCTCTTACAGTCATAAAAATAGGAAAATAAGCTCTGTTATGAACGAAAATGGCATTGAACCTCTAAATCGTAATAACAAATGGACATTTCATCAAATCCGATGATGAAAAGAGAGAAGAGTAGCAATTGCCACCATTCTTTGGATGAACAATCAGAAAATTTTTTGTGAAATGCACATGGCATGTAATTGTTGTTATTTGGACAAACAAAAAATATGTCTGTCGATGTACTGTCGACCATTTAACATTGAGACTTCGTTCACTAGTATATCAAACTAAAACAGAACTCTCCGTCCTTCGTAACAAGAGAAATTAGTCATGTTAATTCATGTTTAAATCAATCAATTTTTCTCCATTGTTTAAGGATTTAACAATTGATTTATTTATGACTACAGTTTCATAACATCGGACTCACCATGCTCCGCCAGACATGCAACCGTCTTCAGCTAACAGCTACGACCCAGCAGCAACAACAGAGGGGGATGGCGACGTTGAAGACAATCTCAATGCGTCTGAAATCAGTGAAAAATATCCAAAAAATCACTCAGTCCATGAAAATGGTGTCAGCAGCCAAATACAATCATGCTGAGCGTGATTTACGACAGGCGAGACCACTGGGTGAGGGGACGAAGCAGTTTTATGAGCAGGCGGAGATTGCAGCACCTGAGGGTGACCCAAAACAACTGGTCGTGGCCATCACCAGTGATCGAGGTCTTTGCGGGGCAGTTCACACTGGTGTTGCACGTAGTATTCGTGATTCTTTGCTCGCTGATTCGCAGCTGAGAGAGAACACCAAAATCATCTGTGTCGGGGAGAAGTCCAAAGCTATTCTTTCGAGATTATTTCCGAATAATATTCTTTTTGTGGCTTCTGAGGTGGGCAGAAAGCCACCAACTTTTGGAGATGCTGTCAAAGTCGCTGCTGAGATAATGAACTCTGGGTAAGTTGTTTTTGCTTCCAAATGGAAGCTTTGTAATCGCTCAAATTTTAAGTTCCCAATTTTCTGTGTTAGGGTAACTAAATGTGGACGTCTGCACTAAATATGTGATCCGCAAAAGGGATCACATATTTATGGTCCCTCTGTTGGTATGGAGTTGTGTATAACCTGATAATACTGATAACATTTCGCACATTCTGATCCTAAAATCATCCTCATAGGGTCAAAAATGATGTCTCTAGAGAAGATACAAAAAACAATTTAACATTGGTGTAAATGGGAGTTGCTGATACAAAAAAGTGCATCTCGGAAATTAGAATTGTGAAATGGGTCCCTTCTCATGCAGACGTCCACAAATATGGTATAAAATCTGAATAAGGGATTCTTAGATAGTGTCTGTATGTATGTAGATATGTATGTGTGTGGTCTTGTTTTAATTTTTTTTCGAAATTTTCTTCTGAAGGATTTACTGAATTTCACGTATATGAGCCAATCCGCCAATTTTGTAGACGAAAAATTGCCTCCAAATTTTTAAAGTTTGGTTTTCCATTTTTTATCGGAAAGTATAGTCCAAAAGAAGGAAAACGACCGCGAACGGAGCTCTCTCAATTATAAGTGGAATTTTGAATTATAGGCGGAAGATTTAGGCGAAGAATTTTTTTTCTTCTAAAAACTTTGTTTTTCAAATTTGAATTACGAGCAACTAAGAATAACAAAAACAAGCATATGTCCCCATCTGAGAAAAATCTAGTTTACGGGAAGTTCGTCATGAAATTCTTGCGTGACGAATAAATATGGTACCATCATAGATTTGTTTCAGAGCGTCATTACCAACCCAAGCAGCCTAAACCCGCCTGGTGAAAAGCGCAAATCGCCTAGAATAGAGTCCCATTTTAAATATTCGAAAATATTGAATTAATTTCCTACTATTATTGTCTATACTGCGAAAAAGTTGGATAAAGGCCTATTGATTATTATTCTCGTCTTTTAAAAAGTTAATCAGGAACCAATACCACTTTAATGGTAATTAGTCATTCATAACAAATGATCATAAACAAATATTATAACTATTAATCTTTGAAAAAGAATCCTTATCCTTATCCTATCCTATATAATCTCCTATATATTAAAAAAGACATGGGTGCCTATCCTATCCTATCGTAAAAAGGGGAAAGGAAATCGATCTCGACATATCTTGAAAATCTCGAATCACTGTCACCGTAAGACTGAAACAGAAGCGCCACTACGTGAGGAGATAAGAAGGCGCGTGCGTAGCACGCGCGACCGATCTCCTTTCTATTATCCTTATATAATATTATATAATATTATTAATATAATTTTTAATATAAAGGGAAGCATTCGAGAATCTCGAATGAGAACTCGTATGTATATTGAAATCATATCGATTCTCTCGAAGTCGAACTCGAATATCGAACACGCGTGTGCGGTCGATCATGAATGGAATGTCTGAAAATACAGAAACTGCATGGTGGCTTTTTAATTATTGGCAGTGTCTATTCACACGGTCCACGGTAAATTTTACCGTGGTGTATATAAAAGAGATGAGTGGTAAGCATTACGTAGGGAAATTGTCTCGTGGATCCAATTATATCGCGGATTTGAGCCGTTAAGGCTTCGAAGATCAGGGGAGCGATGACAAGGGTCAAACGAGAGAGGAGAACGCTGCAAAAACAGTGTGTTTGACACCCATCGGAATTTCAGATGTCAGACGGAGAAAAGACATCTGAATCATCATAAGTGTCGCAAAATGGTCCAGATGTTTGAAAATTTCAGATACAATTTGTATCTGGAAACGCTTCAAACATTTTTTTTGTCTGAAAAATTTCACATATTTATTTTCAGACAGTTTTTGCGTCTGAAATTCAGTTTTTTAGAAGTGATTCAGACATTTGACTCTTCAGACGTATTCTCTGTGTCAAACAGCTGACTCCATTCAAACACAAAAATTTCAGACAAATCTGTCTGAATATATTTCGTTATTCATGATTTTATTAGTTAATTACTGAATTGATAATGACTGGATGAATTGATTGAAATTGACGAACAATATATAGAGAATATGTATATTCGAAAACGAAATCCTTCATATTAGTAAAAATTATCAAGCTATTTTCTCTCTATTTCCATCCATATTTGAAAAAACAACAGAAATCATTGATTAAAAAATTGAGTTAATTTCTATATTCATCTTCATATTTATATTGGCGCTCGGTTGGCGCACGACACGTATGAAAAAATCGTACAGAAATTTTCTATACGGGTTGCGTATAGAATTTCTATAGGATTTGCGTATATTCGGATATTTCTATACGGATATTTTTTATACAAATTATTTCTATACGATTTCTACAGGTTTGATTCTAGACGACCCACTGCTACATGTATAGAAACATTTCGTATGGAGTTGCGACATTTTTTTACGTTTTTCTCTGGAACGTTTCAACATCTTTCGTATGAAAACAAATATTTATGTAAAAATTTATGTGTAGAAATAATTCGTATAGAAAATATTCGTATAGAAATATCCGAATATCATATACGGAAATCCTATAGAATTTCTATACATAATCCGTATAGAAAATTTCTATACGATTTTTTCATACGTGGAGGTGCTCAGCATAGATCGACAAATCCGCGCGCTGTGCTATATTGCTTGTACGAGAAGAACGGCCTTCAAAGAGGCGAATATCCTGACGATAGACGCTGCTCAAAACTGATAATATTCTCTAATTCCTTATACGTACAGTCGGTTGAGGAAAAACTTGTCGTTCGTTCCTTGTCTTGATGGTTTACGTGAAAAGTAAGGTTTAGACAGAATATTATCAGTGGTGGAGTGACACCTTTTTTCGATGAAATGGGGGCAGAGAAGACTATCTTAATAATTTCTTATCGAGAAAGGACACTAGAAATTTTTTTCTAATAGTTACTTATTATCGCAGCGATTTTACATTTAACACGACCTGGGGAATCGACTCGTTGTGCGGTTTACTTCTTTGTCTTTGATTTTATCCATTTTTGTCAATTTTTTCTAGCTTCTCCATCACCCATCTATCACATTGAATGTTTATCTTCACTCATTCGAAGCTCATTCTTGTTATAATTTTCACTCTTCATTTACATTCAGTTTATGATGATAAAACTATAGGCCAGTCAAATTACGGTTTGGAAATCAAGGATGATAGAAGAAGGATAAAAAACATGGGATATCATGCGGAAGAATGATGTGAAACACATACTAAGTTTTTGGGATTGTAGCAAACCGGGAATTGTTTAAAAAAATTCAAAACTGCAAAATTAAGCGTCCACGCGACCTTTTTTGCTTTACGCCGACGAAACCATGATACATAGGATAAAAATGCATAAGACTTAATTTGTAGTGCATAAAATTTCCTACAAAAAAGTCAATGGCGGCATTTTCGTAATTCCAACCGTCAAGTCACCAAGCGTGCTCAAAGTTGAACTACGAATAAGCTGATTCGCCGCCAACGCCGAAAAGTCCATTTTAGTTGCAAAATGCAAATAATTTATGAAAAAGTTGATTGAAAAATCTGAAAAAAATTAGGATGCATTTTGACCCTTCACAGAATGTCTCCAGGAGAGAAATTTTTTTTTAGATTTTTCAGGAGTCGCCATTTTCCTCTTTTTTTTTCATTTTTCAATCAAAATTTGTTATAACATAACTTTTGATCCAGTTATCTTATTGGAATAAGAACAAAACGTGATTTTTTCTCGTCCTCTCCTCTCCATTTTCACTCTTTCGACCTTTTCACTCACTTTCATATTTAACTTATTATTTGTTGATAAATTGAAAAAAAGTGCTGTTTTTTCAATATATAATCTGACTGGAAAAATTTTTGATTAAGCTCGGTAGCTTTATCCCCAACTTGAGTCATTGGGATGAATCTTGAATTTTTTCATATTTTTCTTGGCATTTGTTAACGTAGATTCTTAATAATAAAAGGAAATTTTTTTCGATTTTTGTCATTTTTTTCAATGACTAAAAATTCTTTGATTTAAATTTTTTTTTTGATATGATGGTATTTTTTGATATTTTCAATACTTAGTGAGCTATGAATCATTTCAGATTTAGGGAAATGTTGCACTGATCTCTATACTAACTGGATAGACTATCCTTACGGGCCGAGTAAGCTGGAAACTGAGGGCCTTGAATAGTTCGCCAGCGCCTCCCTTGCATGGCCTCGGAACTTTAGGATGCCTCAATGCGCTTGCGCTACTATACTGGCTCTTACAAAAGGAGTAACCTCGGGTCTCGGCCCGAGCCAGCCCCCCCACTCTTACTCGCGCATACGCTTCAGCCTTCAGTCATAGCCCTCTGCGCGCGCCAACTTCGACTGGCATTTTCAATTCTATTAAAACAAGACTGAAGCGGGAGTTAACAAAACAAACTAAGTAAAGATTTCCAAGTATCTTTTATAGTTTGGTACAGACCACACTATAGGTTAAACTATTTTCAATCATCAAATTGGTCAATTAAATTGCGTGAAAAAAATCTGAAAAAAATCATGAATATTCAGTGTCATTCACATAATATTTTGCACAGAATTATTATTTTTTAATACATTCGTTGTTTATAATAAATGAATGAAATTATTTAAACTTTCGGAAACCTAATTTTTTTAGGCATGAAATCGGTTGTTGGTAAAATTGTTAGTATAAATAAATTTGTTACGATTCCAAACAAATGATATTTGTCGTGGAAAATTGATTGTTTATAAATTATTTATGGAAAATGCTCGGAACTTTCAAAAATTGCAATTTTTCAATTATTTCATCAATTTTCTCTCTAGACTGAACTTTCTTTTTTTTTTTTCAGATTTTAAAAATGTTTTCTAACGGTTCCATATCGAGATTCAAATTCATACCTGCAAAGTTTAAATAATAAAATCATTGTAAAATGTCCGGAAACGTAGGGTTCAATGGGGCTCCAATGAAAACTCTGATGTTCGAGTACAAAAGTATAT